ATATTTTAAGGAAAAAATGAAACTTCTTGTTGTGTACTTAGCACAGTATCTAATAGTAAATGTTCCATAAATGTTAATGGGCATATCATTGCTTTAAGCCATCTTAAATACCCTAGGAGTCTGGGCCTATTTCTTCAAAGTACCTCCTACTCTAAGAAAAGACTAAAGCCTGAAACATTGGTTCTCTCACCCTGTCTTGCCCTATCATTGCCCTCAATCCACAAATATTTCTCTTTACAGCCATATCACAGATAGATAAAAGCAGCATAATCAAATAAATGCTGTGTTGGGGGCCTGTTTTATATATATATATATATATATATATATGTATATATATATATATATATATTTCTGTGGAATTTTACTTTACCCATGTAAAGATATGTTATATTTGTTCATGTCACATTTGTTTAATTATGTTTCACCTTGCCTGCCTAAGGCACCTGATTGGTCTAATAAAAAGCTGAACAACCAATAGCTAGGCAGAGGAGGGGTAGGTGGGGCTGGAAGAAAGACAGAATAAATAAGAGGAGGAATCTAGGCTCAAGAGAGACCCAGAGAGGAGAGAACAAGGGAGAAAAAGACAGAGATACCCAGGGTCAGTCATCCAGGAAGCTTCCAGACAGACAGACAGACAGACATGGATTAGGACCTACAGAATGAAAGGAAGATAAAAAGCCCCAAGACAAACTGTTGATGAAGAGAAATGGGTTGTTTTAAGTTGTAAGAGCTAGTGGGATAAGCAAAAGACATGATTTGGGGGACTGGTGATCCAAGAAAGTATGGTACAGTGTATATACACATAAATTTACTGTGTATATTTTATATGCTAAATATATAGGTTGAAGTTGATAGAAGTTTGGAAGAGGATTTCCTTTTGAAATTGCACAAACAACCTCACTGTAAAAATGTGTAAAATGAGAAGCAGTTAAAAAGTAAATTATGATAGCTCTGAACTTGCTGCCATGCATGATGGCCTAAGTTTGATTCCCAGAGCCAACATGGTACAGAGAAAGGACTCCCACAAAACTGTCCTCTGAGCTCCATACACATGTACTCACAAATAAGATAATAATAATAGCAGTAATAATATTAATAATGAACCTTTCTTGGGTCAGCAAGATAACGACTGACAACCTATGTTCAATCCCCAAAACACAGTCTATGGAATAAAAGCCGACTCCCACATGTTTTTGCCACAAGTGGCTTGTCCTTGTGATTTAACACTTTATTTATGTGATTCTTCTTAAGCCTTGAATATAAATTGTCTGATGCTCTGAATAAAGTTGGCTGTTGCATGAGACTTTAGTCTGCCTCATTTTTAGATTAGGCCCCGCTCTCCCAGTTACCTGAGACTAAAGTAGAGCATTTAGTATGCATACAGAACACCTGAAGATCCTGTCAAAATACAGATTCAGCTGCAGGTCCTGTGCAAAGCCTGAGAGTGCACATTTCTACCAATCTCTCATCATGTGGATGCTTCTGACACACGCTTGTATTGAAAGTGCTGTAATCAACTAGGCAGTAGTGGAGAGACAACTGTAAATGCCCCTCCCTGATAGTGATTTTGACGACTGTCTTACATACCATCCTAGAACCTCCATCCAGTGACAGACGGAAGCAGAAGCAGACACCCACAGCTAAACACTGAACTGAACTCCTGGAACCCAGTGACAGAGAGGGAGGAGTGATGAGCAAAGGGGTCAAGACTGGGCTGGTGAATTCCAGAGAAACAGCTGACCTGAATAAGGGGGAGATCTTGAACCCCAGACTGATGGCTGAGAGGCCAGCATGGGACTGATCCAGACCCCCTGAAGTGGGTGTCAGTGAGGAGACTCAAGCAATCTATGGGGTTTTTGGGTAGTACATCAGTATTTATTCCTGGCACACAAATGGACTTTGGGGACCCATCCCACAATGAGGGATGCTTTCTCAATCTGGACACTTTGGGGAGGGCCTGGGCCCTCCCTGGAACGAGATGACAGACTCTAGAGATCCCCCATGGAGGGCCTTACCCTCCATGGGGAATGGAGTGGGGATTGGGGAGACTGGGGGGGGGCTGGGGGGAGGGAGTGGGCATGGAGGGGAGGGAGAGGGCTGTGGGACTAACATGGGAAGCAAGCTTGTTTCTAATTTAAATATATAATTAAAAGTGTTAAAAAGAAAGTGCTGCAATCACTGATGTGCACATTGATTAGCATTTTTCATTGTTTTTTTCTATCAATCATTTTTGGTCTACAAAATAATGGGTTGCATTGTAACCTTTTCAGTCATGTACATCATTCAACTTGCTTGCATGCTCTCATGTCACACACACACACACACACACACACACATACACACACAGGTGAGGGGGAAGGAGAATTCAATATAGATTATTCATAAAAGAAAATACGATATCTGTTTTTCTTCCCCCTAATTATTATATTTTGGTTACCACTCAGATATACATTTTTATTAACACTGTGAAAGGACAGCAATACTCATGCAACTTTTTACAATTTTGCCATTACCACAACTCTGTGATAATGGGAGTACTTTCCCCCAGAATAAACAGAGTAAAAAATAACCAAAGCTAAATAATAAAGATGATGTCATTTATCCAAATGAAATCAGGATTATATAACCCTAGTGTTCTAACCCTGGAGCCTATGTTTTTGCTATTAAACGGTGGTTCTCTAACTAACTACCCAAATTGCCTTTTAAGACTCCAGATGCATTTCCCAGACTACTTTCGTGTGTTACCTTAATAACAGTATATTTTTGGAATTGACAGTTGATTCTAAAGCACAACTAAGGTTAAGAATCATTATGCTGGGCATGGTAGTGCTTGCCTGTATTCCCCAGCACTTGAAAGGCGGAGGCAGGTGGATCTCTGTAAGTCGAAGGCCAGCCTGGTCTACAGAGTGAGTTAAGGCCAGCCAAGGCTACATAGAGAGACCATTCTTTTAAACCAAAAAGAATTTACTACTCTATCACCAGGTGTAATGACCCATGCCTATAGTCCCATAACCTGAAATACTGAGGCTGGATGATTAACCCAAGTTCCAGGCCAGCCTGAGTTACAAAGTTGGACCCCGTCTCAGGAAAAAATCCTATTCTAGTAGTAGTTCTTAGGGTGGCAATAGTAGTGACTATGAAGAGAGATGCATATTTAGGGGCTGGGGGTGTAGCTGTTGCTGGGCAGCTTGCGGGACTGTATTATGATGCTCGTGTTCAGTCTTCAACACCACATAGATTGGATTTGGTGACACTTACCTAAAATCCTACCATTCCAGAGGTGGAGGCTGGAGAATTAAAAATTCAAGGTCATCCACAGCTGCAATGTGAGTTTGAAATCCAATCTTGGAAAAATGAAACCCTGTCTCAGATGATATATATATATATATATATATATATATATATATAGAGAGAGAGAGAGAGAGAGAGAGAGAGAGAGAGAGAGAGAGCTTTTGAGGCCCATCCATACCTATTGAATCAAGAATATGAGTTTTCCAGGTCATTCTAATGTCCTCACAAGTTTGAACATGAGCTTGCATATGAAGTCAAAAGCCATGGAAACAAAAACACAAATTAAGTCCTGGTATAGGATTAGGCCAGATTCAAATCAGCATCCTAAATGAAGGTATCAAAGATTAAAATACCAAGCCCCCATGACACAGGCTTTTCTGAGCCTTGCTAGGAAAGACATCTGCCCAAAGCCCTCTCCAACTGTCAAAACATCCTGATGTTTGCTCCTACTCTGCACCTTGCTCTCCACTCTCTACTTAAAACACTAACCTTTCCCATTTGTGCTTTCACCTGGATTGAGTAAATAGCTTCTAACCACTCTTCTTCCCACCCCTCTCTTCTTGGTATCCAAGATGAGAACAGCAGGGAGGCAAAAGGTTAGTTATAATGTACCCGAGTAAATGGATATACAACCTAAAGTGGAGTGACTTCCACAGCTGGCCTCTCTGTCCTCATCTCATCTGCTTTGGCAACTCTCTCACCCTTTGACCTAACTCCCATGAGCTCCATCCCTGGAAAATTCCACTGCCAAATGCTGAACTCATCTCTTCTCGGAGATGATCTCAGGTCAACAGGATGAAAGAAACAAGCCTGCCAGCCATTACTTACTGACCAGAAACATAGTATGGAAACAGTTACCAACCACTGTACCCGTGAAACAATTAGAAATGGAAATTGGCTCACTTCTAAACCAAATAGAAGCTATTAACTATTCTTTGCCTTGTCTTTACTGTCCTTCTGAATCAATGAATTGGCATCCAAGGGATAAGAAACAGGGAAGGTGTGCGTCCTGTTTGACAGAATTGGCCTTAGAAGTGCTGGGAATAAAAAAATAGCTTAAATGTGTGGTAACACTCCTAAAAGGATGCTTAGCCCCTCAAATACCTTATCTCTCTTCTCACTTCAACTGATTATGATCATTTTGCTTGATTAAAAGCAATCATAATAGTGAGAATTATTTATTAAGCAAATGTTTAATTAAGCTGAGATTAGTTACTAATCTAGCACTTGAATCTTAGGAAGAAATCAAAGTTTAATATGAAGCTATGGAGGGAGAAAAGTATGATTAGAGTCAATTAGATCTCTGTCAGACAGGAAGCCTTGATGAAGGTCCCTATCCCTTCATAGCCCTTGAAGTGTCAATGAAGGGAGGGGGTTCCAATGGACAGTGTGTACCAGGTACTTGGAAGTTGTCTAGTAACTTGGATGGTAGAGGGGGAGGGACTAGCTCACGGACCAGGACAGATTTGCTCAGAGATTGCTGCCTTCAGAAAGCTAGAAAAGCAGGAGGCTGAGGACTGAAAAGGAGAAGATGAGTAATCCTAATGACATCAGGAACCCAAAGATGGCATGCTGCCAGGCTGTACTGCCAGTAATGGCCAGAACTGTGCTGGAGCTCTAAACCTACAGCACACCTTATCCTGTCCCATGAGAATTGGAGCTCGAGATCCAGCATGCCCTTCTAAGTGGAAGTCCTGCTACCTCAAGCCATGGAGTCATCTTTCTCATTTGGAGTGATCCTTGCTGTCCTGACCGTCCTCATCATTGCTGTTAATGTACTAGTGGTCGTGGCTATGCTGCTATCAATCTACAAGAATGATGGTGTTGGTCTTTGCTTCACTTTGAATCTGGCTGTGGCTGATACCTTGATTGGTGTGGCTATCTCTGGTCTAGTTACAGACCAGCTCTCCAGCTCTGTTCAGCATACACAGAAGACCATGTGCAGCCTTCGGATGGCATTTGTCACTTCTTCTGCAGCTGCCTCCGTCCTCACGGTCATGCTGATTGCCTTTGACAGATACCTTGCCATTAAACAGCCCCTCCGTTACTTCCAGATCATGAACGGGTTTGTGGCCGGGGCATGCATTGCAGGACTGTGGTTGCTATCTTACGTTATCGGCTTCCTCCCACTCGGAGTCTCCATATTCCAGCAGACCACCTACCATGGGCCCTGCAGCTTCTTTGCTGTGTTTCACCCAAGGTTTGTGTTGACCCTCTCCTGCGCTGGCTTCTTCCCAGCTGTGCTCCTCTTTGTCTTCTTCTACTGTGACATGCTCAAGATTGCCTCTGTGCACAGCCAGCAGATCCGAAAGATGGAACATGCAGGAGCAACGGCTGGAGCTTACCGGCCCCCACGGCCTGTCAGTGACTTCAAGGCTGTCCGTACTGTGTCTATTCTCATTGGGAGCTTCACTCTGTCCTGGTCTCCTTTTCTCATCACTGGTATTGTGCAGGTGGTCTGCCAGAAATGCTGCCTCTACCAAGTGCTGGAAAAGTACCTGTGGCTCCTCGGAGTTGTCAACTCCCTGCTCAACCCACTCATCTATGCCTATTGGCAGAGGGAGGTTCGGCAGCAGCTCTACTTCATGGCCCTGGGAGTGAAGAAAGGCTTCACTTCAATCCTCCTCCTCTTAGCCAGGAATGGTGATCCAGAGAGGCCCAGAGAAAGCTCCTATCACATTGTCACTATCAGCAACCCAGAGCTCGATGGCTAAGATGGTAAGGAAGGAAAGTTTCTAAGTGTTTTTCTTATTCTCATTCTGGATCCCAGCTAAGAAATAATATATGACACCACCCAAAATGAGGCAACTTGCTTCAGCAAATTGACCAACCAACCTCCCACATTCTACATCCTCAGAATGAGGTAAATGAAACTGGATCCTAACTTTCATCTATAATCAGTTTCTGCACCTGCAAAACTTTATGTTTTCCTGTTCTTTGGAAATATGCCTGTTTGCTAGACAGGTATACTGGCTTCAAGGATTATACTGCTGAAAGGGGTTTGCATACCAGATCCCACCTTTTATCATACCAGAGCAATGTCCAATAGAAATTTAATGCAAGGTGCCTACACAATGTTAATGTTCTAGCAATCATGTTAAGAGACAACATCAATGTTAATGTTTTTAAGTCTCAAGCTGTGATTCTTAAATTCTTATTTTAATTGTACATACACAAGGTGACACTTCAAGCGGGCAGTGGGCAGTATAATATACTGATCAGAGTAACATTTCCATCACCTTAAACATTAATATTGATGCTTTATTTAGCCTAGTATATTCAAACTATTGATTCAACTGTTAATCAAATGAAAATTGCTATACTTTTTTCATACCAAGTTTTGAAATCAGGTGTGTATTTTTCTCTTACAGAGTGTCTCAGTTCAAAGTAACCATATGTCAAATGTTTGAGAGCCATAAGTAGATAGTGTCCCCATACAAGACAGCACAGTACTAGGGAGATTAGGTTCTTTCCTTGTTAACTATTTATTTTGATGATTCACTACAACAATCACTCCCATCAGAGTTCCTGCCTTCCCTATCTGTATCACATGTTATATATGGCAAGTGTACATTGAATACAGGAACCCAGATTATAGAGCCCAATGCTTGTCTTTCCTCATGGAACTGAAAACGATGCTTCTTTAGTAAACTCCCTCCCTAGTGATTGTTTCAACAGTTAACATCCCCAGCCCACCACCTTTTTAACTCTCTGGTGCCCCTTCCCCTCTGTTGCCTCCTATGTCACTGGTAGCTACCTGCTGATGAAAATGCAGAAACTGAGACACTATAAGGGAAGAAAGAGGGAAAGAGGTAGGTACCAAGACAGGCACTGCCAAGCTCTCAAGCGTGAACTCACCTTGCTCCTCAGAGTTACATGTTCTTGAATTCATTCTGAGGTGTGCATTTTTCTAAGCAACTCAGTCATCTAAGATGCACCAAAATTGCACAGGAAACCAGCTCATCCATTTCTTCTGCATAGTATAGAAAATGACAGTGTTGAAGGCTGAAGATGTAGCTGCATGATGGAACACTTGCCTAGCACATACAAGGTCCTGGGTTCCATTCTCAGTAACCCCCCCAGGCAAATGCCCATACTTCCAGCTGGGAATGATGCTTGAGGTCCCTCTGATAGCAAAAGTCGAGGGCAGAATTCAAGGGAGGGGATGACCAGGAACTCAGGCATCATGCTGTACTTAATTCTTTCCTCACCCTTCTAGTCTCCACTGTGGATTATTAGAGTATGGCTCTCAGAATGCTAAGCTTAATAACCTCCCAGAAAGATACTCAGATGATAACAAAAGGTGGCACAAAGAAAGGAAAACAGTGTCGATTAACTTTTCTGGGATTTGCACCTGAAAAACCCTGAAATGATATTCCCTCACTATCTCTAAAATGATCACTTTATGTGTCCAATGTGCAAAGGCTCATTGCAAGACACCATTGGAAATCTTCATTCGAATCTGAAATACCATTCAGAAGTCATCCTCCTCTCCACAGGATGCTTTTCAATCAGGTTTTTAAAAAATTTCTGTTAGTCTTAAATTAACTCAGCATTCTCGCATCAGCCACTCAGAAGATAATAATCACTCCTTTGACATTCCATACCCTTTCAGATCCTTTCTCGATATCCTCCATCTAAGAGCCTGGTTCCTGCTGCTCTGTACCAGCCCACTGATATAACCCTGCTTTGGTAAGATGCTCTGTTCCTGCACTGTTAACCACTGGCTCAGAGGAGGAACAGGCATGCTTTCTCCACAGCAAATTGTATGTTCCTGCAACCGAACAAGTTTTTGTTTTTGAGTGGATGGCAGAACCCACTAAGCCTGACAACCATCATGTAATGGTGGTCTGTGTTACTATAAACTAGCTAAAATACAAATCAGAAGTGGGTTTGAATCAAATCGAAAACTGGTTCAAAGCAACCCCCCATTGATGTTCACAGCTGAATTCCTGCCCTTGCTACAAAGAATAGATCCCAATTTAAATTCAATTAGCCTGATTTAATCATTCCATATTATAAACACATCAAAGCATTACATTATACACCATAAATATACACACTTACTTTTCAACCAGAAATAAAAATTAAAGGTATTTTAAGAGAAAAGAAGGGTCTAAGGGGAAGCTAGGTGACAGGTGAGTTATTAGCTTCAGTGTAAGAAACCTTGCTATCTCTATGAGGAACATGTACAGCTGAGAAACCACAGGCTTCAGAGTCCAACAGACAAGTGTTCAATTAGTTAATGGTGGCACACGCCTTTAATCCCAGCACTTCGGAGGCAGAGGCAGGCGGATCTCTGAGTTTGAGGCCAGCCTGGTCCACAGAGTAAATTCCAGGTCAGCCAGGGTTACACAGAGAAATCCTGTCCTGAAAAAAAGGGGGGAGGGAGGCTTAGACTCACTCTAATGTTCAAGGCCAAGGGTGGTCTTCAGAGTGAGATCTATTTTCTCATCTTTTGAAAAAAACTTTAGATTTATTTTTATATTTTGTGCGTATGAGTGTTTTTCCTGTTTGTACATCTGTGCACCGCATGTGTGTCTGGTGCCCAGAGCAGTAGTGAGCTTCCATATGGGTGCTAGGAATAGAACTTGGGTCCTTTAGCAAAAACAAGTGCTCTTAACCACTGAGCAAACTTCCAGCCTCACTTCTTATAATTCTTGAAACAAAATTCCTCTTGTGTTAAATTGGGTCAATTGGGGCAACCCTATATAGTGAGGAACAACTCAGGCAATGTATGCCAAGATGCATAGTAAACTACAAGACATGGCTAGTATTCTTCTTCATCAAGGAAAATCTTAGCAAGTTCCAGGACAGCCAGGACTATAAAGAGAAACTCTGTCTCAAAATAGAAACAGAGAGAGGGAGGAAAGTAATGAAGGAAGGTAGGAAGAAAGGAAGGAAGGAAGGAAGGATGAAAAGAAAGAAAACCCTAAAGAATAAAACATGTAAGTGACCCATCTAAGGGAGTCCATTATATTCAAATTGCAAGGTCAATTTGTCTCAGAATTAACTGTGAAGCCTTCACCTGATGAATAAGCCTTTTTTTAAAAAAATGGTTTTTCAAGACAGGGTTTCTCTGTGTAACAGTCCAGGCTGGCCTTGAACTTGGGATTTGCCTGCCTCTGCCTTCCAAGTGCTGGGATTAAAGGTGTGTGCCACTACTATCTTGCTTTTTTAAGAGGTAAGATTTGGGGTACCTGGTCTAGAAAGAGTGTTCAGTGATTAAGATCATTTGCTGTTCTTGTAGAGGACCCAGTTTTATTTCTGAGAACCTACATGGTGCCTAACAATGATTGTAACTCTTGTTCCAGGGAATCCAACACCTTCTTCTGGTCTCTGTGGTTCACAAGCATACACTCAGGCTGGCTCTCTCTCTCTCTCTCTCTCTCTCTCTCTCTCTCTCTCTCTCTCTCTCTCTCTCTCTCTCACACACACACACACACACACACACACACACACAAATAGTTTTTTTGAAATATATTCAGGAGTTCAAGGCCAGCCTGGCCTATATCATGAAATCCAGGAGAGCCAGGGCTATACAGAAGGTAACTCACAAGTGTAACTCCAAATCCAGAGGATCTGATACCCTCTTCTGGCCTCTGCACACACTGTATTCTTTCAGTGCACAGGCATACATTTTGCCAGACACTCATATAATAAAATGAAGTAAAAATAAATAATATCCCAAATAAAAAAGCTTCCAGGAGCAGCTTATTTTAAGTTTTTTTGTAAAAATTATGCCTTGAGCAAGTTTCATATTAAATCTTTAGGAAACTAAACTTATGCATATCACCTTTCTGTTTCAGATTCAGGACTTCTCTCAAGAATATGAAATCACATACCCTTCTGTATAATGTGTTTTAAGTGTTTTAACAATTGATAAAGGCAAGTTGCCCTGACCTGCCAACACTCTTATATGACCACTCAGTCCATCTCTAGGAGTTGGCCAGCCAGAAATGCCCTTGGAATATCCTCTCTCTAGATGAAGTGTTAACAGACTCAAAGGTGAATTAAAGTCATGAGCTTGATTTCATTCTCAGCAAGTCTGGACGCTGGCCAAACTGAACAGAGACCACTGAAATGAGCAAGCATGAGAGATCCTCCAAGAACATGCATAGAATAAGAGGAAATAAGATGGCAACAGCTGGGGAAAAAGAACAGCAGTGTACTCCAGGAAAAACCAGAGCTCTCTGACTATCATCAGTCACTCAAAAAGGAACGAGAACTTCAGCATCTTCCCTGCATCTTTCAAAGGCTGCTGAGAAGTCTGGAATCCACCTCCTTTCCCATGATTCCTCCTTTGCTATTTCTTCAATATTACAAACTCAGTGGGGGTACCTACAAATGTTAACTGCCATTCATTAATTGTGTATCTGTCCACCCGTCTATCCCACAAACATTTAAGAGTTAGGTGCTATGAAACTGCATCATTGTTGGGGTTTCTTTTAGAGATGCACACTGATGTTTGAGATATATTTATTAACCCTTTTGTATTGTTAAAACTTTTACTCATTTTAGAAATATTTGAAAACACATAAAATTATTCAGGTGCTTATAATTACACCCTCCAGAGATAGTCACTTTTATTCCCCATCTTTTTTCCACTTTATATTATAGTCTGTACTTTTGTCACTGTATCTTCTTCAAAAGCACAACTATGGCTGTATGTGTGTTTTCAACAAATGAAAACATAGTATTTTAATCACTTCCT